AATGGACTCCCAAATGGGGAGTCCATTACATCTGATAGGTGGGTGTTATCTATCATCCAGTTCGGATATAGGATAGAATTCAATGTTATCCCTCCTTCGAGCCCGATCCGCTTCACACCTTCTTCATTGGTGCTACGCAATGAGGTCTCCCAGCTACTTCTCAAGGGAGCGATTCGACAATTGTCCTGCTTGGAAGGATTGCATGGATTCTATTCCAGATATTTTACGGTCCCGAAAAGGGACGGTGGTCTTCGTCCGATCCTGGACTTAAGAACTCTTAATAAGTACATTAAACCAAGGAAGTTCCGGATGACCACTTTGCAAAATATCCTTCCGTTATTGAAAAGAGAGGATTGGTTCGTGTCACTGGATTTAAAGGATGCTTATTTTCATATTTCCATCCATCCTTCACCCAGACGCTTTCTACATTTTACTGTCGGATCCGACCTGTTCGAGTTTAACATCCTACCTTTTGGCTTGGCAACAGCCCCTCGAGTCTTTACGAAGTGTATGGTGCTGGTATACGCACACTTGAGGACATGGGGAATACAGATATATCCATACTTAGACAACTGGCTGATCGTCTCACAATCTGAGCAAGCTCTCCTGTCTGATATACAAATGACCTGCGCTCTACTCAATGCTCTTGGTCTCTGCATTAACCGCGACAAGTCATCCCTTATTCCCACGCAGGTCATCCATTTCATCAGGGCACGACTCAATTCGATGCAGGAAAAAGCCTCCCACCGGAACGTCAGAATGCCTTATGCAGCCATATTCATCAGATTCGGCTACACGGAACGGTCCCAGCCTTATCCATTCAGACTACTGGGGCATATGGCTGCTGCAATTGCCATTGTCCCATATGCCAGACTATGTATGCGACCCATACAACTGTGTTTCAGCGCTGCTTTTCAACTGCAACAAGATCCTGCCACCAAGCCGATTCGGATTCCATCTGCAATCTTTCACACTTTAATGTGGTGTACCATCACAGACAACCTGTCGATCGGCGCCCCGTTTCGACCACCTCGGCCAACGACAACTCTGTACACCGACGCGTCCCTCCTTGGATGGGGTGCGGCATGTTCGGGACTTCAGGTCCAAGGTACTTGGAACTGACGAGAGGCGAGGAAACATCAACTTTCTGGAACTTCTGGCGATTTTCAATGCCCTTAAGGCTTTTGAGACTGTGTTATGCCATCAAGTTGTCCAAATTGCATCAGACAACATAGCGGCAGTTTTCTACATCGACAAGCAGGGGGGCACAAAATCCCCAGCCTTAGCACGCCTATCGATGGACATTTGGGATTGGTACATACCAAGGAACATCGTGCTTATGGCAGTTCATCTGGCTGGAACCGACAACGTCGAAGCAGATACATTAAGCAGACAGATGTCAACAATCCACAAATGGGAGTTGGACAAACAAATTTGCGAGAAACTCTTCCACTTGTGGGGTTATCCGGACATGGACCTGTTCACCACTCGAGAGAACAGCCTGTGTACCCTATACTGCTCCAGAGTGGGCGTCGGGCTGGGATCGATGGGGGACGCTCTTATGGTCCCTTGGAGCAACATGACTTTTTATGTGTTTCCCCTGATCCCACTCCTGACAAGAGTGGTTGCGAAAATAGCCCAGGACAATGCCATGGGAATACTAGTGACTCCGTGGTGGCCGAGACAACCATGGTTTGCCACTCTTTTGCTGCTGTCCAGAAGAACATTCCTTCATCTACCAACTCTTCCTCATGTGTTAACACAACAAGGAGGAGCAATCCGTCATCCGGATATACTCTCTCTGAAGCTGACGGCATGGCGGATCACCTGATTCACGCCACTGAGTCGGTACCGGGGACACCTCACCCTAGGGGTGACCTTACTCAACAGACAGTATATGCGGCCCCGACTTAGGATTCGACAGCAACTGCCACGGTACCGATGCCTACGGACAGAGAAATTCAGGCGATTCTCAAATCTGCATTGAGACCGTCCACTCGTTGTTCCTATTCGGCTAAATGGAGAAGATTCTCCTCTTTTGCAGAGTGCCATTCCTTTTCCCCTGGAACGGCTTCAGTCACCAATATTTTACAATTTCTCTTGCATTTGCATCATGAGGGACTTAAACCATCATCCTTCAAAGTTTATGCTGCCGCTATATCCCATTATCGTGGCACTATCCACGGATTATCAGTCTTCCCTCAGCCGCTGGTTTGGCGTTTCAGTAAGGGACTACAAAATTTACATCCGTCTATTCACCCTGCCATGCCAACGTGGAGTCTTTCCGCAGTGCTCCAAGCGCTTACCAAACCACCGTTCGAGCCTTTAGCAACTGTGGGCTAACGCCTGGTGTCATGGAAAACTGCCTTTCTCGTAGCAGCTACATCAGCACGGAGAGCTAGCAAAATTTGTGCTCTCCGCATGGACCCACCATTTCTGAACTTCCATAAGGAAAAAGTCGTCCTTCAGATGGATTTCCCCTTTTTACCCAAGGTGGCCACACCATTCCACCTGAATCAGGATATCGTTCTGCCAGCATTCTTTCCATCGCCGTTGACCCTGACAGAACGTGCTCTACACACACTTGATGTTCGCCGTTGCTTGACCTTTTACAGATCCCGCACTGAATCTTTTCGTACTACTAATAGACTTTTTGTTAAATACTCCAAGCGTGAAAAGGGATCACCGATATCATCTCAGAGACTCTCTAATTGGATCGTCCAGACTATTGTCCTGGCTTATCAGCTATCGAAAATAGACTTATCTGTCTTTCCAAGTGGCCACTCTACACGAGCAGTAGCGACCTCGTCCGCTTTTGCCGCAGGGGTTTCGGTGCAAGACATCTGCAGAGCTGCGATCTGGGCTGGTCCATGTACTTTCGCCAAGCACTATCGGCTTGATGTACGTGCCAGACAAGACTGCTCTTTTGGTAGAGCTGTTCTCTCATCCGTTCTTCGCTGACAACACCTCCCTCCTCCGACTGTGGCAAGCTTGCGAATCACCCATATGTGTGATGCACAGAGGCCACGATGAAGAAAAGCAGGTTGCTTACCTGTAACTGATGTTCGAGTGGCCATCTGTGTATTCACACAACCCACCTGCCGGCCCCACTCGGTGTTGGTGAGTGGATCTCGTTTTTCTTGGTACTGTACTATAAATTGCATCGGTACCGTTGGGTTATATCGCTGACTAGATATTGTTCTCGGTACCGTACTATAATTCACATTGGTACCGTTCGGATATAATTGTGTTTTTCTCATTACTTTTATTCTTAACCTCTAGAGGGCGAACATGCGGTCTTCAAGACTGAGTAAAATGGTGGACACTCCGCTCTATTTATACCACGAAGGGGGAGGGGAGCGGCGTTTTCCTGCCAAAAACCATTGGTTTTCTAATCTTCCGGCCTAGGCACTGTGCAGGCACAGCAACCCATATGTGTGAATGCACAGATGGCCACTCGAAGAACATCAGTTACAGGTAAGCAACCTGCTTTTCTGTGAGGAGCCTGGATCCCATTCAGTCTTTATTAACTCATCGTCCCTTTGCAGAAGTTTCACCTTGTGGAAATGCCGAGGCAGCTTTCCGCTCCCAGTGCGAGGGCCCGGCAAGAGGCTCTGCACTCTGTCCCTCCCGGGGGGTCCTGGCCAGGACTGTGCGGAGAAAGTGGAGGGGGACATTTTCTCCTCTCCCACAATGCTCAGGCCTGGGACATCCGTGAAGCTGACAGGGGGGAGGTTTGGGGCAGAGCACAGGAATTCTCTGCCCCAGGACCTGGCGAGGGCCGCCAAGCTGGATGGTGCGAAGAGTGGGCTTGAGAGATTCACGAGGGAGGGGGCCATTGGCGGCTGCTGGCCTTGCTGGCCACGGGCTGCCTCCTTCACCACAGGAGGGAGCCGGCTTGCCCACGTGCGTGCGGAGCGCTGGCAGAGCTGGACTTGGGCCTGCTGTGGCACAGCTTTTCCTAGGCTCCTCTCCAGCAGTAGTTTGCCCCCTTCCCACGTCTGCAGCCATGCCCCCTCCGACGGCCGCTTGACCCTCTTCCACGGCTGTTTCCTGCTGCTCTGCTTGAGCATCTCTGGCCCAGCCCCCGACAGGCCGGAGCGGACGCCACAGCCTTGTTTGCACAGATGCACAACGATGTGCTGCTGTTTGGGCAGGCAGTGAGGTAGCAGAACTAAGAACGGCCACGAGCGAGAAATGAGACGGCGCATGAACAGACTCCAGACGCCAGGCCACGCCTTTATTTCGACAGCATGCCCAGCTGCAAGAGCGGGGGGGTTTATTCTCATCATTCAATGTGAATGGCATTGTACATGGATCCAATGCGGGGAGCAGAGCACTGGTGTCTCTCTTCGGCCACAGGGCTTTAGGTACGTTGGCTCCATTTTTGGCTACACAACACTTCCCTCCGCAGGGGGACACATGGCATGAGACATGACTTGGTCCGTACTGTGTATTTACAAACATGGCAGTTCACCGTTCCAAAGCACAGTTGCGCGGGCCCAGTGCGCCCCAGGCGGGGCTGAGCCCATGCTCCTCGCTGCCGAGCCGCCCCGGCCAGGGGAGGGGTGGCCAAGGAGCCTCCCCGGCAAAGCCAGCGGCTGCCCGTCCCCAGAGGGCTGGCGTCTCTCTGGGGTGGCTGCTGGGCCTCTCTGGAAGGCGTGCTGGAGGGACAGGCAGGCTTTTGGCCGCCTTCCACTCAAGCAAGTCGTGGTCGCAGCAAGGGAGGAGGAGGGCCAGATCCTCAGTGCGGCCTGGAGGCAAGCCGGGGGCGCAGCTGACGTCCTTTGCGGCCACGCTGGGAGGAACGAGGGGCCTGCGCAGAGCCGCCCGTGCCGCAGACTGCAGGCTCCGGCACCTCACTGCTCGGCCTGTGGCGATGGGCTGTAGGCAGCACGGCCTCTCCGCCACGGGCACAGGGAGCCCAGCCTCCCTCGCCGTCACTCGCCTGCTCCCCTGAGGGCGCCCGGAATGTCCAGTGTTCCATCACCCACTCCCGGCGCCGCGAGGGGGCCAGCGAGGCAATTGAGGCTGCCCTCAGGGAAATGCACTCCGCTGCCCACCGCCAGCAAGGGCGAGGCTGCTCCAGGACCGCCGGGAGCAGCCACCCGGTCAAGACATTCGCGTGCTTGCTTCTGGAGCACCTGGACATCCGTGGGGAGTGTCCCCGCAGCCTCCACCTCTGTGCTGCCTCCTCGGACGAGGGCAGTCCTGCTGATACTCAGACGGGCACGGTCTGTGCGAGCACAAGCCCACTGTGCACCTCCACCGGCTCCGAGAGGTGGGCAGTGGTGTCTTTTTCCGAGGGCTCCCGTGTCAGCGTGTTTGGCGGTGCTGGTGGTCCTGGGCCTCAGCTCCAGTGGGAATTCTGCAGCTCCTCTCGGAGCCACGTGGGAAGCGGCTGGCCAACCTTGTTCAGCAGCTTGGAGAGCTCCATGTTGTAGTCACGGTAGAAGTCTGCCAGGAACATGCGGGACTGCAACAGTGCAAAGAGACAGACGGTTTCAGCAGAAGGAGCAGCAGCTCTTTCCCCTCTTAATTGTAATGCTGAGCTTTGTCACACGTGGCACGAAGAGGATCCCCACTCGGCTACTCACGGAGGGGTCCATGTCTTCGTATTTTCTTCCTTTACTTTTCCCCAGGCACTTGGTCTTCCCTCCTTCCAGCACTTGGCACCAAAACCCCTTTGCTTCGTCAAACCTGAAAAAGTGTGTTGGTTGCACAGAGCACAAAGTGGGCTCGGGAGGCATCGTGCAATGGCTTCCCGGGACAATTCTGCCGTTCTGCCAGGGCATGCAGGCGGGCCTTTGAGCTGCTATTTTGCCCCCTTTCCAGAAAAAATAAATACATGTCATCTTTCTGGGGAAAGTGCTTGAAGCTTGGGTAAACGACGTATATTACTCTGCTAGGGTTTGGTCCTGCCGTTTAACTTTTGGGTTTCATGGTGGTGCAGCCTGTCTTACAGGCACTTGCATTTCAAAATGATATAAAGTTCTCAGAAGTGCCTCCCTGGCTGAACACAGACTTGGACGTTGGCTCCCTATGAATCATGTTGGGGAGAGTCTTGAGAACGTGTCCCCGCAGCACACGCTGCCTCAGCAGGCCCTGCGGGGTGGGATCGGCTGGCCTTCCCTCTTCTCCTCACGGGCCCAGCTTGGCTGGGGGCTTTGCTGGGGACGGTGTTTCAGCGAGCGGCAAGCTCTTTCCTGCGCAGAGGCAAGCAGGGCAGGCCGCGCTGGTTTCCGCTCCAGCGAACTACGATGTCTGGGGTCAGGCCCCTTCCACCTGAACCAGCCCTAAATGAGGGAACCCCCCGGCACACAGGCACCGCTTACTTGAGCGCTTGCGTATAATTGAACAGTGGCGTGATGCCCAGGAACTTCTGAATGTTCTCCATGATGGAAACGGGGCTGTCCCGGAGTTCCTGCCCATCCACAACCAGAACCTGCGAGGAAAGCGAGAGCCGCTTGACACAGCCGACGAGCAGCCCAGGCCCTCGCTTGGAGAGAGCAGCTCGACGGCAGCCCGCCTCTCCTGCCTCCCCCACCACAAACGATCCACAGCACCTGCCCGGGGGGGAAGTACATCAGCCACCTCTCCAGGTGGACGGCGTAGCGGCCGGGCTTCAGGCAACGGCTCTGCAGGTCGTGCAGCTCTGGGGGCGCTCCGGGCCCGGCAGAGATGATCTGGTGGAAGGTGTAGTTGAGCGCCACGGGGTCACTGTGGGCACGCTGGTGCTGCAGGCAGGCCGGGGGCAGAGGGGAAGGGCGGGTCAGGCGCCCGCTCTTCCGCGCTTGCCCAGCAGTGGGCTGGGCCAGCCCGCACCCCCCGCCATTCCGCCGGCCGAGCGCCCAGCAAGGTGCCACCGACGCAGCAAGGGCTACCTGATACCAGGAGTGGGCTCGGTCCGCCGGGTTCGTCAGGATGGCGATGATCTTGGCCCGTGGAAGGAGGGCTGCGGTTCGCCTGGGGACCGCCTCCGCGTCGAAGTAGTTGGCACTCTTCTCAAACATGAAGTCTGTGCTGGCGTTGGAGGGGATGGGGAAGAACTCCATGTACCTGTCAGGTGCGGAAAAGCGAGATGGCGTGCACGGCGATGCTTTGGCTGGACAGCGGAGCCCCAGCACCTGCTCTGCTGCAGGGCCGGAGGCCAGGGTGGCCCTCAAAAGAAGTGCCCCCCCCCCGCACAGTGCCTCAGCCCCAAGCACGCGGGCAGAACACGAGCCTCACCAGTCGATTCCTTTGTGGTAATTGGGGCCATTAAAGAACTGGATCTCCTCATAGGTGGAAGGGCTCAGGAAATTGCTGGTAACCGCGGGGTGCATGGACAGGAAGAAGTGCATGGCCGTGGTGCCTGCCAGAGCAGAGTGAAAGCAGTGGGGTCATTTATTTATTTCTTTAGAGGACCTCTATGCCGCCCCATTCGCTGAAGCTTCGGGGCGGCTCACAATCATAAATAAATAACATAATATAAAACAATATAATTTAGCAGTATAACAGTAAAATTTAAGTCGCCCTGGCCAAAGAATAAAATAAATATTAACAGTTAAAATAACGTTTGAATAAAAAGGTCTTTGCCTGGTGCCGAAAAACAAATAACGACGGCGCCAGGCGGACCTCTCTGGGGAGCGCATTCCATAGATTGGGCGCCACGGCAGAGAAAGCCCTCCTCCGAGTACTCACCCTCCTAATTTCCTTCACGGAGGGTTCCCGGAGAAGGGCCTCTCCCGCTGATCTCAAGGGGCGGGCGGGCATATATGGACGTAAGCACTCCTTCAGGTAACCGGGACCCAAGCCGTTAAGGGCTTTATAGGTCATAACCTACAGCTTGAATTGGGCCCAGACTTCAATGGGAAGCCAGTGAAGCCTGATGGAGAACTGGAGTCATGTGAACATAACGCCCAGTCCCCGTCAGCAGCCTAGCAGCTCTATTTTGAACCAATTGAAGTATCCGGACCATCTTCAAGGGCAGCCCCACGTAGAGCACGTTACAGAAGTCAAGTTGGGAAGTCACCAACGTGTGTGTCACTGTCGCCAGGCAGTTGTAAAGGAGGGTTGGAGCAACCGGGCCATTTCAGAGCACAGAGAACCACCTGTGTCGGGCCTGGGCCAGGGTTGCCTCCTTTTCATCTGCTGAACCCAGAGGGGGCCAAAGTCCGCCCCTGTGTCCGTCACCCTGGCGCGCCCCACCGGGGAGACCAGCGAAGGGGAGCAGCTCAGCCAGCAGAAGGCTTCTGGCAGAATCACGTCGCAGTGGAAACAAGGGGAGGAGACGTGGGCACCACTCGGATGCACGGCTCAGCAGGAGCATCGTTTGGAACCGGAGCGTAGCCGGGCCTTTTCCAATGGATGCAGGCCTGGACGCGGTGGGGGGGCTGGGGAGCGCCGCCCGGAGGCCAAGCTCTCACCAGGCGAAGGATCAAAGCGGAGGCAGCCCTCCTCTCCAGGAGGAGCCACCCCGTGAGCAGAAGAGAGGGGGGTCTCTCCAACGGGGACGGGGCGGAGAAACTGGGCGGCAGCAGTAGCTGCAGGCAACACTGACAGAGCATCTTTCACGCACACTGCACAGAAAGAAGGCAACAGCCGACCACTTTTGCATCTCCTTATCTTTAAAAGCTTATGATGGAACAATCCAGAATGAAACAAGAGACAGTGATGGAAGATGGAGCCCAAGGTGGAAAGCGTCCAACGAACGACTGGGAAAGCAAAGGACAAATGGCGGCGTTAGTGACGCAGGCCAATCGGAGCCTCAGGTCTAGGTGCTGGCATGGCCCCGGGTGCAAGGGAAGCCTGACGCTGCACAGCACCGGCAGCTGGAGCGTGCGGCACTCCAAGCATGAGCCAAGGCAAGCTGGAAGCCAGCGAGGCAAGAGGTGGAACAGCCAGCACTGCAGGGCAGTGTGAGCAAACGAATGGGATCGGACTGGACTGGACTGGGACACTGTCATTCAGGCAAGCACAAAATGCCTGAATGGAAATGCCAAACTCAGAAGAAACGGAGCGGCTCTAATACTGAGGCAAGATGCAGCACAGGCAGGAAGGGGTTACAACATAGACTCTGACCAAACTGTATTGAACAGAACATGTGAAACACCTGTCAAACTAACCATTATTCAAGCCTACAATCCAAGAGCAGATACTAAAGAAGAAGAAATTTATTTATTTAAAACTTGTATGTGCCGTCCCCTCTTGCCTCGGCATCTCCGGACGGCTTACAACAAATTGAACAATTTTATGCAGGTGTCCAGGAAGGAAGAGCTAACACGCCGAGACAAAACATGCTGATAATCCGAGGTGACTGGAATGCAAAAGCAGGAGACAAGACAGAATTAAATGTTGTAGAAGAATTTGGCCTAGGGGTAAGCAGCAAAGCAGGTGAATGACACCCAGAATTCGGCAGAGTTAGCAGTCTGTTAACTGCAAATGCGTGCTTCAAGCACCCACTTGGCCAACTGTACACTTGAACGTCATGATGGGGCAGGCGGCCCTGCTGCTGCTCGCCGTTCTGGCCGGATGCTTCCTCTGTGACCGGAGGCGGCCTGCCTGCCTGCACCAGCTGCTGAGGGGCTTGGGCAGGAGGAGGCCTTGCGCCCGCCCTGCTTGACGGATCCTGCGGGCAGTGGGTTTGCCGCCATGCCTATGGAGAGCGGGAGCAGAGGGACCTTTGCTCTGACCTAGCACGGCCTTTCTCATGTTCTTACGACCAGTGCAGCAATCAAAGAGATTGGAAGTGGGAGAGGGAGAAGCCATATTCTCACTGCCAGAACAAGATTAGACTGAGAGTAGATTGCAGTGCTGACCCTGAACTGTCAAAAGTGAGAGCACAGCTGAAAATGACCACTAACAGAAGCACAGTGCCAAAATATAACCTACCTTAAATAACATTACAAAGGGTTTTAAAATCCACATTTAAAAAAGATTTGCACTGCTGACTGACTATGCAACAGAAGAACTGTGGACTGTTAAGACAGAAGAGGGAGAAACAGAATCGTCCCCCAGAGGCAAAAGGGCCAGGCAAAGGTGTATTTTGCTCCCCATCTATTCAATCTGTACACACAACAGGAAAGCTGGATTAGGATCAGAGTAAGGAGCAAACATGGGCGAAAGACATGCCAGTAATTCAAGATGTGCAGACGATACCATCTTGCTGGCAGAAAGCAGCAGTGACTGGAAATGATTCCTGATGCAAGTGAAAGAAGAAAGTGCAAAAGCAGGGCTGCAGCTGAAGAGCAAGAAAACAAACATCACAACTACCAAAGAATTCCAGAACTTCACTGTCAACAGTGGAGAAACTGAAATGGAGAAAGATTTTACATACCTTGGCTCAGTCATCAGTTCAAAGGAAGAATGCAGCCCAGAAATTTAAAGAAGACTGAGCCTTGGAAAGACAGCAATGAAAGAACTAGAAAAGATCATGAAGTGGAGGCCAAGGCCAAGCTTATCCAAGCGACTGTATTCCTTTCACGGATGGGTGTGAAAGCTGGACAGTGAAGAAAACTGGCAGGAAGGAAGCTGATGGATTCAAAACACGGAGCTGGAGCAGAGCTTTGCGAGGACCCGGACTGGCAGAAAGACGGGCGCTCTGGTCCTGGAGCATATCTGAGAGTTCCCTGGAAGCAACAGTGATACAACTGGGGCTGTCATGGTTTGGGCGGATCATAAGAAGACAAGACTGACTCACTGGAGAAGCTGGTCCTGCCAGGGAAAGTCAAAGGCAGGAGAAGAAAAGGAAGGTCAAGTAGGAGGTGGATTTTCTCCCTAAAGGCCTCGAATTTAGAGCAGCGAAACGAGCAGGCCATTTTGGAGGGCCTTCAACTGCAGAGTCTCCTGCAGTTGGAAACAACAGATGGCACAGAACAGCAGCAAATGAGCCTTTAAGGTCACCATTGCACCTTTCATGCATTTTCTTTTGCAAGCACAACGGTTTCTGTTGCACATTTTATCTCTGCCTGGAGGGCTTAGAAATCATTATTAGATGGAACAGATTTCCCAGGGAAATTCAAAATCATGTGCACCTGTTTCTGGTGGTTAACAACAGAGAATCGCCTCCCCAGACCAACTGCCTTTTCTCAGAAAGATCGAGATCAGATCCTTCCCAACCTAAAGGAATGCTAACAAAGCAAGGGCAGGAGCCCGGGATGGAACTCCACCTTCCAATATTATGCATTGAAATCTATAACTGTGTGTGACAGGTATTGGTAGTGAGTGTGAAGCATTACCAGTTTTTTGCGGACCAACAATGAGGAACTTGGGCAGTCGGTCACAAGTCTTCTCTTTGGACCAGATGTCCTTATGCCGCTTGTCATCACAAGGGTTCTGTATTAGACAATAAGTCAACCGTTAGACTGCGGGGAACGCGTTACATCACACGCATCAGACTGGAACTCAGAAGGGCGTCCGTGTCACCGGCCATGGAGTGTGAAGAAAGCATTTTTCTAGACTGCCCATGCTGCTGCTGATGGTGGTGGGCCGTGCAGGGTCCTTGGGATGGGCCGTTTAACTTCAGCTACTTCCTTTTTAATAAAAAAAATCTTGCTTTTTATTGGTAGAAGTGGTAAGTATGTCAGAATGGGCAACGGTATTTCATTTTTCTAAACTGTCATTAAAAGCACACATAGTACAAGCTCAGCGTGTAAACAAACGAGGCAGAGCAGTGGCTGGGTCCTGGCAGAGTTAACCCGGAGCAGGTCTGCCTCAACAGCCGGGGACACCGTGCCCCATGCTGAGAGGCCCCCGGAGACCAGCTGCCCCGCATGCTTGAGCCCAGCACCACGGAGCGCGGGCAGGCAGTACTGGCAATGTGCTGAGCAGGCGGTGGCTGGCAGGAAGGGGCTTCTGGGCTGTGGGGGAGAGCCGGACAGAATGCTGGCCCAGCTCAGCTGCGGAGAAGCAGGCCAGCTCCACCCTCGGGACGGAAGAGAAATCCTGCTTCCCTCGCACAATCTGCGATGTGACCACGCGGGCAAGACTGTGTCTGGTGCGGGTGGCCTTACCTGAGGAAGGATGGTGTCCGGCTGCAAGCAGTGCAGGGCGGAGTGGGGGGCAACAAAAAGACCGGGAGACTGAGCAGAGCAACCAGGACTGTTCAGCACCGAAAAGGCCGAAAAGGGGGGGGGGGGGGCAGAGCGGCAGAGGCGCTTGAGAGAGTGCGTGGGGAGGGGCAAGCAGAGCGGGAGGCCCTTTTCTTCCTCTCCCGTAACGCTCGGGCCCAGGCTCCACCCAGGAAACTGACTGGGGGAGGCAGAGGAAGCCCTACACACTGTGAGTCTGCCATTGTGGGAAATGGCGATGCTCTAAAAAGGGACCGGAGGGACTCCCGAGGGAGGCGGCTCTCCGTGGCTACTAGCCCTGCTGGCCACGGGCACACGCCAGTTGCGAAGGGCAGGGGAGGTCTTGCACCCCGCCCACCCGAGGGATCCCGTGGGCAGCTCATCCGGCAAGCCGTGCAGGGCATGATCCAGCACGGCTGTTCATGTGCTCTACTGCATGGGTCCTCAAACTACGGCCCGGGGGCTGGATCCAGCCTGCCATGCCCATTTGGACCTGCCCCGCGTTGCACCCGCCGCTGCCCACCTCGCCCCGCGCGCAGGGAGGCAGTGGTTTGCTCACCCGGAGAAAGCGCTCTCCAAGCGAGCAAGCCGCTGCCTCGTGCGCCCGCCTCGCCTGCCCTCGCCGCATGCGTGCCTCAGTGCGCACGCCCACACACGCTGCCTCCGCGCACACCGCTGGCACCACCTTTCTGGCCCACGCCCGGCACCGGCAGCTTTCAACTGGCCCCTGGTTAAAGAGTTTGAGGACCCCTGTTCTGCTGTACCCTGAAATTCTCAGAAAGGCTGGATTCTGTGCAAAGGAGCCGCTGCTCCCAGCCTCCCGCTACAGGCAACTTCGGGACTGCCCTGCCGCCTCGGGCCAGGCCTCCGCATGCTCCTGACCCGCGAATCTCGGACGCAGCTGCGGGGATGCGGGCCGGCCTCCCTTCTGCACCTGTGGAGCCGGGCTCCCTCTGCCCAGTCTCCTGCTTCTGTGGCACTGTGGGCTGGCCAGCGGGACCGCCCTGGACCTGCCACGGGGAGCTCGAAACTTGCCTTCTCACCTGCCACAGAGGGTTCTTCTCCTGGGAGAATATTTCAAAGTACTTCTTGGCCAGCTGGATGGGCGGCAGCGTCTGGAGGCGGAGGTTGGTCCAGCACTGCACGAACTTGACCAGGCTTTCGAATGTGTAGAGCCCCAGCCGGTCGTTCCCGTAGTTAGACAAGTGCGTCATGAAGATGCTGATCTGGACAAGGAAGGAGAGGGAGCGGCTAGTGCCCATGGGGCAGTGCCACTCAGCGAGGCCGCCGATGACACGCCAGCCTGCCTGGGGCAGGAAACTGGGAGGACCCTTCTCTCCAGAACCCCGGCTCCAAAGCTGACGTGGTCCTGCTTCTTGGATGTATTCTCGGGAAATGTGCCCGTCTTTCCTGCCCTGCCATTTACTGTGCGTTGTAGTTATTTCTGCCTTTCTATCGAAAACAATTGCGAACAGACAAATCCCCGAAAGGACTGTGCTGCATTCCACCCACATGCATTAAGCGTTTCAGGAGGAATCCCCAACTTGCGCCACAGTCCCTGCAGCCGGCCGGAAAGAACTTGGAAGCGACAGCCCTGACATCGGGGCTCTTGCACTCCTCTGAGATCCCGTGCATCTCCTTCCTCAGATGACGGAGGATCCTTCTGCAGGGCCTGGGCGTGTGCTGCTGAGCTCCCCAGTGGCCACGTCCAGAGGCGCTCGCTGGCCTGCAGTCCGGCATCTGACACGGGCTGCCAGGAGGCCTGGAGGGCCTGAAGGACGAGCCGGCCAAGGGGAAGGCCTCGCACAGTCCACGCAGCTGCAGCCACCGGCCTTGGCTCCGGCCTAACCGACTGCGCAGCCGAGGTGGCCCGCGGTGCAGTTCGCTGGCGCTTGCTCAGGACTGCCGCCGTTCCCGTTGCACAGCACTCCAACGGAGTCCAGGGCGGGAGAGGAGAGCTGTTGGACGCAGAGGGGCCACCGAGCGTGGCGCTTGCCACGCACCCCCAACTGTCCCCCGTACTGCTTTTGCCCAGGCCTGCGACAGCCCAGCCTTTCTATGTGCTCTGCTTTTTCTGGGGGTTTGCTCCTTTGCTCCAGTGTGAGCTAAACCTGAGGCACCGATCCAGAGGGAGACGCAGCGGCGGCTTAGGTGGGTAAAAAGTGGAGCTGCAAGAGGAAGAGGCCTGCTGCAAACAGCAGTTGCTCTGGGGGGCAATGAGCCTGAGCCGCCTTCAGCTGCCTTCCTGGCCCCCCACTGCCTTCTCTCTCTCAAGTCTGCCTGGACAATGAAGAGCTGCAGCGCAAAACCAGCGGCAGAAGCCCCAGAGGATACACCGGAACTCAGGAAAGCCCCGATGTTTAGGCGCAGCCCAGCTGGAGCAGGACACCTTCCACGCAGTTTCCTGCCAGGAGGCTCCGATGGAGGCAAGCAAAGGTCCCACAGTGGGGCCTCCCGGCCGCGCGTCTTTGCTGGCGGAGATCAGGCAGCTCCTCAAGGGCAGGGAGGCTGGGGCCACCCGAGGGCTTGGCCCAGCTGCCCTCGGGAAGTGTGCGGGGGGGTGCCGGCGGGGGCGCGGAGCAGCGCAGCGGCACTCACCGGGTTGAGAAGCACTGTCAGGAACAGCTCGCCGCCACGAATGCTCTTATCGAGCTCCTTGGAGCCGCCAGGGTACTCGTTGTAGAAGATGGTGTGAGTGAAGAGTCCGCAGGTCTGCCGGGGCAACACCTGGGGGAGCCAGAGGAAGAGGCGAGGCTGCAGGTGGCTGCGGGCCCCATGGCGAGGCCTCCCCGGTGGGGAGCAGCAGGAGGGGAAGCAGGGCGGGGGCCGCCCTGCAAGGGGCGCCCAGTGCCACGGGGACCGGAGGGGTCTGCGGCCAGGGAATGACGAGGATGGGGGAGAAGGGAAGGCCCTGCAGGCACAGGATGGGTGGGCTCCGTGAGGGGCTTTGGGAGAGCTGGCGGGGGAGGCCCAGGCAGGGCGTTCACGGGCTGCTCCTCAGTTGGAGACTTGATGGCACAGAACAACAGACGTTCTCAGGTTTTTCAGGCCCGTGCAGGTGCACGCATTCGTAGGGCCACAGCATAAACACATGGCTGCATCTAAAACAACACAGCATCCAGGTACACGATGCGCCCTGGAAGTGCCCTGAAACACCACTCCCCAAAGCCCCGCTCGGGACGCGCTGGCATGCCGCTGCCCAGCCCTCCTCCGCTCGGGCAGTTGCCTCCCTCGGCAGAGAACCCAGCTGGGCTCCCATGCGGCAGGAGCGTGCAGAACCTCTCCCTGTCCAGCCTGTTAATTTATGTAGTTGGACTACTTCTCTAGCATGAGGCATTTCGGACGAGGCAACTGAACAAGTGCGCAAGCCTGGGGAGGGGAGGGGGGCCGCTGCACACGACGCGTGGATGTCTCAGCAGGCAGGATGAAGCCCGAGAGGGGGCCGCTCGCCACGCCACCCCCAACCCTGCTGCAACAAAACCAGATTTCATGCTCACTTAATTGGAAAGCTTCCCCTTTCAAACCCCACAAACTGGTCTGAATGACGGCTACGGGGGGCTGTCTTTCTGCCAAGCAGGCGTCTTTTAAGGGTGTCAGGAAAGACGAGCAAATGCTCGGCACATGGGGGGGGGAGGACTCGTGGGGGTCACGCAGAGAACAGGGCTGTCTCATCTCACCATGATCCCATTATGGATGAACCCTCGGCGATACCGGGCAGGCCGAAGGTGGGGATACTCCTCCGTGCTGGTCACCTGAATGCCCCAGACCGCCTTCCATGCTTCATAGAGCTGGGTGTGGACAGGGTAGACACCTGAGTGGTGGGGAGCCACTGCGTAGCCCAAGTCTGTGGGAATCCCGTGTTCCTATGAGCAAATCACAGAGTTTTGCATCTCCTTCTGGCGAGAACCCTGCCGAATGAATCTGGCCACTTGGTCGTGGGGCGGGGCAGAATCCAAGCACACGGAGTGAAGGGGCGGGAGTGAAGGGGAGTGGTGGCAGGAAGGCCCAATCAGTTTGAAGGAGGGTGCCTTCGGGCTAGATTTGCAAATGGCTGGCAGTTTGTGGAAGGGGCAAGGCCCTCCGGGGTCCGTGCACGGGAGGCGCAAGGTGGTGAGCAGCCTCTCCAGGCCCCCCCATGTCTCATGGGCCAAGCATCCAGCCCCTCCCCCAGCACATTCTCAGTGAGTTGCTCCTTACCAAAGCAAACTGCTTGTTGAGTTTCATCTGCTCAGCCAGCACAGTCACGTTGTGGAAGAGATGCGGCTGCATGTGACTCCACATGTGGGGGAACCACCAGAACTCCTTCCTGTGCTTCAGAAGCATGTCGTCACCCTCATCCTCCTCGTCTGTACCTGGGAGGAACACGGGAAGCAAAAGAGAAAGACGGAAGTGAGGAGGGAGGCACCCTCGGTCTGTGAAGACACCTGGGGCCCCGCTAGGCACGGAGGTCCCCCTGCCCCCCACACTGTCCTACTCCAGGGTGGGTGGCTCTCCCTGCCCCGCGAACACCCAGGGACTGCCCAAGAGCCATCAGGAGCCATCCACTTCCTGGGCCGGACCACCTGAGTAATACTCCTCCACAGCAGAGGTGAGGAGTCCCAGAGGGCCTCAGCCATTGGAGAAGAAAGGAATGTGGCAGGAAGCAAAGTGAATCGCTTCTTATCCCTCGCACCAGCAGGGTATCCCTATGATTCCCATTAAAAAGCAACTGCTGCACTTGCTACCTGTGTGAATGGAGTCCATCTAGTTTGGCCGGATGTGGCCGATCGCGCAGGAGCGGAGAGCAAAGGGAACTTACCTGTGTGGTAGAACTTGCCAGAGAATCCCAGGCTGAACGTGAAATTGGGGACCAGCGTCCTCAGCTTGTTCTGCGTGTTCAAGAGCGCCTGTCCGTGGGGGGGAGAGAGAGGCTGTCAGGTTCCCTCAGCTTTGATTTCTACACGGAGGCGCTTAGAGCCCACCGTTTTGATCTGGAATCGTGCTGAAAACACACACGGCAATGGTGAAGTTGCCCGTGGTGACTGCTGGCAGGGCAGCACGCACTGCCTGAACGTGGGGGCCGGGAACATGAGCAGCCCACTGCGTATCAATGTTTACTGAAAATGGGCAGAATCCCTGTTTGCAGCATGAAAATTATCGTTCCACACTTCTAAAGAAGGTTCATCCACATTGTCAAATATTGTGACAAAGAAATTGTAGTAAAAAGCTGAACTGTTGAAAGAAAGGGTTAACACACTATTTTAAAGGCTAGAAGGCAATACTTTCGAAATGTAAAGCTGGGGTTACACAAAGTGAAAAGTACTGCATGAGAAGGCAAAACTCCCTGGAGAAGACAGTCATGCTGGGGAAAGTTGATGGCAGAAGAGGACAGACTTTGGAAAGGAAGCCATGGAGCCGAGTACATCGGCCCTGGAGTGGGTATGCTGATCCAGAGGGTCACCCTAAGCTGGAAATAACTTGATGGCTCGGATTGGTGAACGCCACCAATTCCAGACTAAAAGCTCATGCTGCATCTTTTCTGTTTGGACTCTTCGAACTACATGAATGGGCCAAATACCGTATGTCTCCCCAGGCACAGCAGCACACCCGGCTGCTTTATTTGGCTCAGCATATGTACAAGCCATGTGCCAGCACGAGGAATACAACACTCCTGGCTTCCATAGCAAGGAAGGACGGGCGGCCAAAGGCCTCTGGAGTGCGGCTGAAGGAGGACTGCCTGGCCACGGCCAGGACAGCCCAGGAGGGCCCCCTCTGCTGCCCCTGCACTCCCCGGAAGGAGTGAAGTCCTGGCACCTGCACTAGGCATGTTTCTCACAGCTGGGGCACATGCAAAGGAACACAGCTATTGAAACCAAGAGCATGCATCACTCTCACTCACTCTTGTTCTCTCACTCGTTCTCTCTCTCTCTCTCACACAGAGGGGGGGGGAGAGAGAGAGAGAGAGAGAGAGAGAGCGAGCACGAACACGAAAGGAAGCAGACCTTTAAGTTTCATTTGCTTCCCTGTCAGTTTTGTAGCCTAATTGTCCATGCGACAGGCGTGCAGGTCTGAAAGAGGAGAGATATTTGAAAAAAAGAGATGGACTGGACAGGGGTCCTCCAGAGCCCTTACAAAAATCAGGGAAGAGGGGGAGGAGCAGAGGGGCTGCTGCCTTGGGGCGTGCCTGGGCCCCTGAGCCTGATGGGGTGGCACCAGTGGGGCAGGCACCCTCCACTCCATTCTTCCGCCACAGTCCTTCACCGGGTGGACGTTCCTGTACGTTAGAGCTATTGAGGCCAATGCGAGTATGGCCACTGAAGAGAAGCTGAGCAAGAGGTCGAAGGAGAAACCCAGGAAGGCTGGAAGCCTCCCCACAAACTCTTTCAGGGGAGATGGGAGGGGAGGGGACGATTGCTAGTTGGAAAGCAAGAGAAGCCATGGTGGGAAGGTGGTGCCAGGAAGCTGGGCGCGCGAGTGATGCATCTCAGAGTTGCTGCTGCCCGGCCAGTGTCCCGACAGCCCTTCCTCTTCCCCGGCACACGTGTCTCTGGGGATGCGATGCATGCAGGCAAAGACAGGCCTGCCCTGACCGGCGTCTCTCCAGGGCAAGAGCCACACTCACTTCCTCTCCCACTTCTGCATCCTCTCAAGGCGCACCAAACTGGGCAGACGCCAGGGCTGGGCGGGGGACCGGAGGCGGGTGGACGACCCTGCGGGGTCTCGCTCATATGAGGAGAACCCCAAGCGGTGCAACCACATACACACCCAGGGTCGAGCGGGGGCAAGTCGCTGCGGCACACTGGCCACCCTCCCAGCACAGCGTGTGGTAGTGCAGGCCATCTCAGAGATGGCTTGTCTGGCACGGAATGCATGCTACTTGCCTTTCTGGGTTTTTTCCTGGCAAAGGTAGTGCTTTTTTACCTGTGTATTTACCTGTGCAGGTATGGTACACCTGAGCATTACCTGCTGGCTTGCAGCTTTCTATGAACCCCACAAGCTTCTTTCCCAACTCCTTAATAACAGATCCCAACATTGTATAAAATCACTTGGTATAAGCAAATTATGAATGCATGTTAGATACATTTACATAGTTTGCAAAATGAGCCAAGTTGCAGCCCAACACACAACACTAGCAAGAGGTGCCCTTTCCTGCACCATTTTCCTCCAACCATCGCAAGCAGGATTGCCGGCACCCAGATGGGCTTGGTGTTGGGCTCTAACCTCTTCCAGGTTAAACATCAGGAAAACACACCAGCTGGTGTGTTTCCCCTGAGAAATTCTCCTTCCCTTTTTCCTCTGGGAAGTCAACAAGCAGCCCATGAAATTATCTCTTGTGCTAAAACTAGGAAAACTGATTAGTCTCCAGAGTCCAGCAGACAAAGAGCCTTTTGGAAAGGGTGAATCTGAGAGCTACCTGCTTTGCCAGAAATTCCACTTCATGAATCCCAGATTATTGCTCATTTCACTCACCAGGCAAAACCTATTTTAGAATGAACTGGTTAGCGTTTGCTTCTGCTTTGGCTACAGGAGACGCCTGTCTTTTCTGCTCATGAAAATAATAGTCCACAATGTGAAGCTCTGGTTCTGGCCTTGGAAGTCCCGATGAGCTGGCTTGCAGGAAGGAAGCCGTGCAAATGTTGCGTCAAATAAAGGAACCTATGAACAACGGCTGCCTGCTACAATTTCCTGGCAAAAACAATTTTAACCGCTTGCCTGGCTTCGAGGAGGACTGCCCTGGCGATTTTGGTTCGGGTTCTACTTATAAGCACCGGATTACAGCTGGGATGCTGAAGGCCAGGAGTGCAGCCAGGGCCCTAGGCCGGCCTCGAACAGCCTTAAAAAGGGATGCGCGGCTGCAGATTTCTGCTTCTCCTGCTGCATCCCTCGTGGGGCTGCTTGACACAGCAGGTTCATCTCACGTGGCAGGGACCCACAAACGGGGCTTAGGGCCAGCCGCTGCTCATGGTTGCTCCCATATCCCTCTGAGCGTGTAGAGAGCTTGGGAAAGGTGTGGCTGTCTGGGAAAGAGGAAAGCGGAGGCACGACTGGGACACTGCCATTCCTTCTCCAAGACTGTCCGCCCAGTTCGCGGGGCTTGCCAGAGGACTCTGTGGGAAGGAGGGGTCTTCCCGTTTGGCACAGGGCCCTCTCCTGTCTTCTCCCACCCCAGCACCTGAAGTGAAGCACTGCTGACCCCACCCTTCCCCAAATTCTCTGCGATATGCCAAGAATTTGGGGACAGGGATCCCTGCCCTGAGCCTCCACGGCCAGGAGGGCCACCCTGTAGCATCACCTGGCCATCAGAGTGGTGGCCGGGGCAGGTGGAGATGGTCTCTGGGTGGGGGAGGCACCCGTGAGGAGGCACTCCAGCCTCAGACCCTGAGGGCCAGTGCAGGCCAGTGAAGTGCTCAATGGAAGCCAATCAGACCAAGTCTCCTCTCTGCACTTCGTGCCCGCAAGCCAGCCTGAGCCTGCCCCACATGGTGTCTGGCTGCAGCGGCTGCCTCTCCCCCGACGGGGGGCAGCAAATCCGACAGTAGCCGCACTGCAGGGGGCTTGCCCATGGGGTCCAGTCTCACAGGCATCAGCCCTCGGGCCATGACGGACGAGCCCCAGAGCGCCCTCTGCCCCATTCACCATCGTGCTGAGAAGGGAAGAGCCACGTGCAGCCCGATCCCGCACAGCTCCCTGCAAATACTGCGGAGTGCGGCCCCAGCAGCTCTGCTGCGGTGGAACTGGAGTGGTGCTGAGATGTCCCACGGGGTGCAGTGGCTCAGTGCTGGGCTGTGAACGTGGGCAAGCGAGACTGGCCTCCGTGCCAGCGCACGGGGCTGCCGGGAACTCACTGTGGGCACCAGAAGCAGCGGCCGTGCAGATGCCCCCCCACCCCGTTTGCCCTGGCTGCGGACCCACATCTTGCCATCCTGGCATCCCTCCCGAGCACAGCTTGCCACTGGCATGGAAATGCAGCACAGTGGGATGCCAGGACCCTTGCTCTCGTCACACAGCTGCCGGTCATCGGGGGCAAGCACAGACCTTTTAAAAAGAAGGGCCTTTGTGCTTGGCTTCTCATGGTGCTTCCAGAGCGCAGAGGAGAGACCATGCCCAGACCAACGGAAGGGCAGAGCAGGGCTGACTTGGGGCTGCCCTTCCACGTGGCGGCAAGTGAAGGGGGTCAGCAGTGCTTCGATCCCCAGCAGCAGGCTGCCCCCAGGGCCGGACGCTTCCTCACAAGCCCCCAACCTGCCCCGCCCCACATTACCTCCACGTCAGACACCTTCATGCGTGTGCCTTCTTTGCCCACAAAGATGTCGTCGACGTCCACAAGGATGTAGCGGTCCAGGGACAGGCAGAGGCGCTTGCCGGTCAGGTATGCAATCGCGTCAACAAAGATGAGCTTGTGCAGCCAGAAGCTGAGGTTGTTGCCGAAAAGGACCCGCTGGATGCCGTCGTGCAGGCCGAGGTCCTGCACCACCGTGGCGTGCAGTGCTCTGTGGGTGGTCAGGTGCGGGATGGACTCGGCGGATTTCGTGCTGGCCAGCAACACCGGCTCGTAGGTGGTGTGGTTGGACTGGAACACGGTCCAGTCGTCCCCAGGCAACGGGCCCTGCTCCACCTCGTTCGCCTGGGTCACGTAGAGCAGCGGGGCGCTGGGGTTGATATGATAGTCCCGCAGGCCCAGGTTGGAGTGCAGGAACAGGGGGAAGCCCTTGAGCTGCGCGCTCAGCAGGCTGTTCTCGTTGGCCTTGAAGAACCCAATGATCCCCACGCCGTACTCCACGCAGTACTTGTCCAGCAGGTCCCTGTTCCAGGTATCCAGGTTCACGTACTTAAGGACATTCTCGTAGATAATAAGGGCGTAGCGGCCATGGTCTTTGTCGGTCAGGGTGGGCATGTCTCCCTTTCCTGGGGCAATCTCCGTCCGATATTTGAACCGGCTAGACTCCAAGATCGCCACTATCTCCTGGCCCAGCTGGGAATAGATGCTTTCCACGAAGACCAGCACCACGGGGTCTGTGCGCGAGTTGTCCACCGATTTGGTGACCCGCCAGCTGGCCTGGGGCTGGACGAGGGCCCGGTGCTGGCTGCTGCAGTCGCCGAAGGGCAAGGGGGGCGGCTCCTTGATTTTGGGGCTGTTGGTGACGTAGTAGGCCAGGAAGCACATGGAGACCAGGCTGAAGGCGATGAGCAGCAGGATCAGCCTGTGGAGCTCCAGCTGCCGCACGTGCCTCACCACCTTCCACAGCTGAATCATGGTGAGGCGGGGGGTCGGCCCTTCCTCAATCCCGGCACCGACTGAGCCACCTCCGGTGCCTCCGCCGCCACCACTGGAAGAGCCAGTGGCAGCTCACAGGGCAGGCATGCAGGCTGCAGAGAGGGCTGGCGCAAACGGCTGCGGGACTCGGCGCCCAGCGATCTGCCATTTATCTCAGGTGACCATGGCCTTCAAGTCCCATCGCTTCTGGTGCGCTGCCTCTCCTCCGCCTCTCTACTGGCTCAGACGAGCCCCGGGAAGGAGGCGGGCCACGTGCCGCTCGGGGTATCTTGGCTCCGCTGCGGAGGGCGGGTGCTGGGGAGCGAAAGCAGAGGCCTGCTGATGAGTTGCCTCAGAAAGCTGGCTGGTTTGGCAGCCACATCACGGACTCTCTCAACTGGCAACCTGGAGGCGAGAAAGAAGCCGCTTGTTAAAGGCATCATCCGCGGCACTGTGCAGGGGCGGCCCAGTCCGTCAGAGTCGCGTCTGAGGCGGTGGAGCCTGGGGGGGCAACAGCGGACCGGCCCCAGGTCGCCCCGAGAAGTGCTCTGGACAGCCACGCTCTTCTCCAGACGACTGCTCCCCCAACCCCGCTGCCCGCTTCCTGCTCCCCTTCGACGGATGGCGTCCCGCGATCACGGAGCCCACTCTGCCCGCACCAGGCTGCCCCAGCAGGCCTGATGCTTCATCCCTTTGGACGGCCCCCCATTCATCTTCCCACTCCCACATGCCTCATGGCTCCCTTGAGCACACTCAGCCTTCCTCCTCATCCCTCAGGAGCCACACGCTGGCTACACAGCACCGTAACTCGGGCCCTGAGCCCATTAGCACCCACGGGGTGACCGCTGCTGAGCATTCACCTCTGCCCTGGATCTTTAAGGTGGGCTTGGAGCAGACCAGTTCTTGGCAGCTGATATAGTATTAGACTCTGCAGGGTCCCATGCTGAGTAAGACAGGGTGAATTAACAGGTCCTGACCCAGGGAGGTAATAGAGTTCCCACACTGATTTGCAGTTCTTTAATATTCAGAGATGTTCTCCAGTTTATGATGCCCAGCACGGTCTGCCCCTGCTCGGTCTCATGAGAAGCGGAAGCAAGGTCTTCTGAAATGGCATCATTCTCAGTGCGAATTTCACTGCACAGTTAGAAAATGCATGATTTGATCTGATTGGACACAGGGAAAGGGTCCTTTAAAAATTCCATTTGACAGAATGTTATTAGGAGATAATCTGTCTCCGATGTTATTGAAGTGTGCCACTGGGAGAGTTTTTGTTGGAAAACATTAGGCACATGGAGAAAGAATACCAACAGAAATAAAAAAGGGAAAGAAATGTAGGTCAATATTTTTCCAGAAGTGTCCAATGACTACAGACTTCACACCCCAATTTGCAAGGATGCCTAGAGCATAAAATCTTAGCTGAGATGAAAGGAAACCTGACAGAGTGCTCAGGACCGTGGAAAAAGCCATCTTCATATGGCCACAGGCAGAAGCAAGCCACTTGTTTGAAGTTAATAGTGCTGTTAATAGTGCTGTTTTGAAGCAGAAACCAGCCCTTATCAAGAAATAAACCCTCTTACAGCCACATCATCTTTCCTTATTCTAACATGGCAGGATGAAGCATAGCAATCTTAAACAGGCTTGCAAACAGACTAAAGCAGGGGTCCTCAAGCTTCTTCAGCGGGGGGCCAGCTGAAAGGCGGTGGTGACCAGCCCGGTCCAGTGAGGCGGGGGTGCCTGGGGGCAGGGGCCGGTGAGGCAGTGTCAGGCGTGCACGGCGGCGGCTCGCTCGCTCAGAGATCTCCCCGTGAGTCCAAACCATCGCTGAGCGAGCGAGCCACCACCTCCCCGCCCACACTGCGAGGTGGCGCGCACGCGCACGGGTGTTGGCGCAGGCTGGATAAATGGGCATGGCAGGCCGGATCTATCCCACGGGCCGTAGTTTGAGGACCCACGGATTTAAATAAAACTGCTCTCAGGAATCCAGACTGGAAAGCTTTTCGTATATGAATGGAGAGGGCCCCAAATATGTAGAGATGGGTGGGCAAGTAATTTTTCAGTGAGCCGATAGATTCCATCAATTTCCTGTAAAGCTGACTTGATGCCACCACTATTTTTAGAAGGAGGAGACCAGCAAGCGCTACTTGTCGCAGAAAGGCACAGAAATGGCACAGACCAGTGCCACCGAAGTACATGCAGTTTAACTTGCCCTCCGTGGCAAGTAAATGAAGATGGACCCCCCCCCCGCGCCCCCCAGTGTTGCCTGAGATTAAGGATCCATGTTTCCAAGTACACTCGAACCCGAACATTTCTCCTTTTGGAATAAAAGTATGGTTGGCACTCCTGGCACTGACGTGTTTCTCCTCAAAAAAAGTGCCTTCCACTTGGTTGACAGGGGAAGCAATTCCTCCTCAGAACAGAAATCTGGAGCTACCGAAGTCAACCGCAGAAGGCAGCTCAAATCCGCCGTGGATCGATCCCCACCACCGTACAGTTTCCTTCGTCTTCGAGACGTGTTTTGTGGGCCCAGCCTTATGGCGATGATTTCCCCTAATATTAAAAATAGGGACCACGTGGCAGGAGTGCGCTCGAGCAACCATGCGCACGATGCACGCAAGAGCTCTCATGCAACGCAAAGACACGGTGGCAGAGCTGAACTGTGGCAAAGTCTGTATGAAGCGCCGCTTTCCACGCGGTTCAGCCAGGCTCCGTCACAACTCTTCCCTCAAATGTTCAGCAGCCAGGTGGCTCCATTGCTCCAACTCTGCCAGCGCCTCCTTCACAAGCAGCTGTATCAAGACGACCTGCTGGTATAAGTATATAAGGCCCATCTGCTTAAAATGACCGTTCGCTGTTCAGCCCCGGCCTGGCTGGCCTCAGTCGAGGGCGCGGCAAAGCAGCGATGCCCTCGGTGCCTCAGCGAAGCTCTCCGGCAGCCTTCCCCAGGCCCTCCCCACAGCCCTGCCTGCTGCAGACGAGGGAGCATGGCGCGCGCACTGCAAGGCTCGGGTGGCCTGGAGAGGTTCGTTCGCCCTCCTTTGCTGCAGACAGAATCTGCTTAAAAGCTACGCTATCCTGAGCTCCTTCAAGGCATTTTAATTCATCCATTCATTAGATGGTCCTTGCCTACCAAGAATCTCTGTGTTGTGTAATTTTAAAGCAAATCCCTGCACTTCCACAGACAGGAAGTCCTTGTTTGAGCCTCCCAGCTGCTAAGAAGCCCCCAGGCGTGGCTTGAGCATTCAGACTGGTGGCTGCCACCACTTCCGGGGCTGCGGCATCCATAGTTTTCCCATACGTGGCCTGAAGAAGGACTTTCTTTGGTCTGTCCTAAGCCTCCTATGAGGTTTGAATGTTATGGGAAAGGAAGCAAATTGTCTCCCTCTCCAGTTTCTCCACACCATGCATTATTGCAACCCCCTCCATCAGCACCGTTTTGTGATGCTGCTTTAAAAACGTTTCTGGGCATCTTCTATGAAATGCACACCTGGACTGCGTACAAGTAGACCCTCACCCCACAACCCTTTCCTTGAGATGGAGACAGCAGTCTGCATGTCCACCGGGCATCGTGTCAAACACAGCAAAATGCTATTTGGATTAAGAGGAGAAGGCAGGCAGGATCCCTCCTGCAGCTTCGATCTGGAGCAGCCCTTCCTGCAGAAAACCCACCAAGTCAGAATACGGAAAGCACGGGAGGAAGGGGCCACCCACAGCACAGCCCTGACCCCTAACCAGCTCACATTTCTCCTCCGTGTAAGGACTCATGGATTCATTCCAGGCCTGGCCAAATCCCTTTACACAGACTCAGTCTTTAATCATGGCAAAGCTTTGAACTCCATTGGCTGAAAAAGCAAAGTGCTCTGGCAGGAATTCAAAAGCATTTCTTCTGAAGCAACAAAATAAGTGTTCTGCTAATTTGCAAGCAGAACAGATGAAGCAAATCCTACCTTATTCTCACCAGAAGGGCACACGCTAGTGCTCTACTAATTGGGCTTGGGGGGGGGGGCGAGGAGCCACAACTCTGACTGCTGTTTTGCTTCGCCAGGGAGAGAAAGTGGCCACACACAGCTGGCCGAGGAGAATGACTGTTCTGAGAGCCACGCTGGGAAGGCAAGGCGCAGGGGAGGGGAGGAAGGGGCCTGGCTGCCCCACACCTGGGTGGGCACTGCCTGGTCACCAGGAAATGTGCCCTTTTCACGCTGTCCCATGCTTCCGGTTGCCTGAAGGCATGAACATGACAAAATAAGAAGTCAGCCCGGAGGACTTAATACACCAAGGAAAATAAGTCCCTCTGGCCTGACCGATGCCCAGCGAAGTTTAGCAGCACCAAAGTATGAGGAGTAGAATCGGTGCTCCTTACATCCAACCAGATATGATTTCCAATTAAAAGATACATCTAATTCTACTCCTGATGGAATTAGAGAGAAAGGATTCAATGTTACTTGGGAAAAACCAAAAAAGCAAGAAACAAAACCAAACAGACTGAGCCACAGTCTGCAGGTTGCGGGGAGAAGTTGGCTAGAGATGAGAAGCTATAATTTCCAAGCTTCAGCTTTGATGCATTATTCCATCACTGACACACACTGGTGTAAGCTGCTTATTTCAACCAGCAAGAAACGCGGAAGAGCAGGATGCTGCTAAGGGGAACAGCAGCGGGCACCCATTCTCACAATCAAAATGCTTTTGTGGCCACCGACTAACCACGCTGTCTAAAAGTCCAGGTGCACGATAGGGAAACAAATGCAAGCAGAGATCTGCATAAAGGGTTGCACTGGGGCACCGGAGAACGTGAGCAGAGATGTTTTACCAAAGCTCTAAATGAGAAAAGGAAGGGTAAGGCACAGAAAGGCGTCTCTCTGTCCAGCTTCCTCTTGCTCCCACACAGGCGCGCATGCGCACGCGCTCACCTGCCCCCCAACAACCGTGGAATGGCTGTTGAGTCCAGTGTTGTCCAGGGAAGACGGAGGAAGTAATGGGCGGGGGGGGGGGCAGCTGTCTGGCAGGCACTCTCAGTTCTACCAGGCCTGGACTGTACTCCTGGCGAAAAGCCGAGTTTTCCACAGCCCCAGGAGGCCTCCAGCGCAATCGGGGCAAGGTGCTGAGTGTAACGCCCTGGGCCCTTGCTGGAGCTGAGCGCCACCCTCACTGCCCTCTGCGGGCCCCTGTGAAGCCCTCCTCTCCAGGGACCACAAAAGGCAGCCAGCGGGCAAGCAAGGGACATGGAATGGGTCTTGGGAATGGATCCGTGCCCTGGAAGGGGCAGGGCCCCCTCCTTGTGGGCCTTCAGGAAAGCCCGGAACACCCACCTGTTTTGGCTGGCTTTCCCCTGAACTGGATTTTTGATTAGCAGCTTTTTATTTCTTTTCAAGTCTGTACCACCCAACAGCTGAAGCTCTC